GGAAATCTCATTTAAAAAAATAAATTGCGCTTTATTTTTGTATGGTTTTTCAAAGCACAGTTTTGCAAAAAGCAGTAGGGTTTTGAGGAACAGTTCATTTCCCTCATTCTCTATTGATCTTGCAAACTCACGAATCACATACTCTTCTAACATTTTTAAAGAATCAACGGGTTCGTTGAAACAGTTTAGAAAAAAATGAAAAAATTTCTTCATCTTTACGAAATATTTTAAATTCTGCTCTATTCTTATTCAGTAAAAAAGTCTATATTGTTTTGGACCCTTCAGTTGTTTTTTTTTTTAGCGTCAAAAAGCCTGTTTTCAAAAAGAAAAATGTTACATTTTCTAAGTTCCGTCCAGAATATGTACATTCATTCGGAAAAGTGTTTTTTTGGATTTCGTTAGGCCCACCACTCAAGCTTAACTCATCGTTTTCCTGAAACCCCAGAACAGCCGGGACCTCCCGATAAGGAGCTATTGCTCATGCTGAGGTGCAGGCTTCTGACCAGCGCTGCTATGTCAGGTTGGATCAAAAAATTTTTTTAAAAAATTTTCAAGGAGTAAAAATTTTTTTAAAAAACTTTCAGAAAGTAAAAATTTTTTAAAAGCAAGCTTGAACCTAAGGAGCCCGGCTGTCTTTGTCCTTTCAATTTATTGCTGTTGCTGGTCAGTTGTGGTTCGCTGTCGCTTGCAGCTCCATTGACTCCTGCTTTTTGCTGCGATCCAAGAGTTCTGGTACCGTTCATCTGAGACTGTTCCTCCTTCTGCTCATCCAGTGGCTCGCCACTGGCCAATGGTGCCTAAATTATTTTTTTATCCGTTTTGTCATTTTTTACCGACTCCTCTGGTGCGCTCATTCGCTGGTCATTTATTCGTCTTTATTTATTATTCTATTTTCTCTTATTCCCCCTCTCCTTCTGCGTTTATTTTTTTTTTAACTTGTTCTTTAGTTGATTTTCTTATAAATTCATTTCGTGCTCATCATTTTTGAGAGGCAAAGATATTCGCAAAGAATTAGCCCAAGTAAAAGTAAATACCAGTAGGTTATCGACGGCTCCCTCTTTCGAGAGTTGCTTAAAAGTAAGCTGGCAGCGGCTTTTATTAAAAATATGCCCACTTTTTATCTGTCCACCATTATTTCTTGTTTATTGCTTAATTTTCCGTTACCATTTCTTCTACTATATTTGCTTATTTATTCTTTTACTTGCATCCTCTTCTCCCC